TGTTGGGCAGGATCCCAGACTGACCTCTTCAGAGCTCAGATGGCCTCATGGACTCTCCAACTTCCCACCTGGATCAGGACACTAAGGCACAGCCTTCTTTTCTCCCTTGGGCACACCCCACTCTCCTAACCCTGGCCAAGTGACAAAAATAGCTACCATCTCCATCTATTGGTCATTTTCTATGGAACAGGCTCTAGGCTAAGAGCTTTCTGAATTATTGCATTTAATCCTTACAACAACTCCACAAATTAGCTACTATTACCATAGTTTCCATTTCATATGAAGTAAAGTAAGGTCCAGAGAGAGACATGGCCCTTGATCATTGGCTAGGACAGAGGGTGGGTGGATTAGCACTCATCATAGGATACAAGAGCTGGAAAGGGTCTCACAGAATATCCGGCCTGACCCCTTAGGACAGAGAAGTGGAGTAACTGCACAGAAGAAAATGTGCGATTGGAAAGCAGGTGTCCTACCTTTTAGTCTTGTATTCTTTGTCCCCATTATATCACCTGATCATTTCCATCCACAAAGCACACACTCCACTGGCTTTGGACTTTGGAGTCATTCATTCTAATTAAAAGGTTGGTTATTTAGGAATTGTTTCAGTTCAATGTGAAATTTCTAGTGCCACCCACTGTATTCTGGGGAAGGGGCTGCTGAAGAGCAAGAAGGTCTGGTTATTGTTCTTAAACACCAGTGGCATCTGGCTGGGGAGAGAAAAATACACAGACCTGAAAAACAACCTTAGAATAAAAAAACAAACAAACAAATAAATGTGAGAGGGTATGATGCCAACCAAACATACTGAGCCTCAGGAAACTAAAAGTGAAGGAAGGTAGGCTCAGCCAGAGAAGGTGGAGTTTAGACTGGGTGGTAAAAGGACAGAGGGATCAGGAACAGAGGAAATGAGAGGGAGTGGCATGTCTGATGGTGGAAACCAGGTAAGCGAAGGCCTGGAGGCTGGAAAGAACACAGTGTGATATGCTGGTCCTTCAGGAAAGGAGAATTCGTGCGGCAGAATCAGAGGCAGTGGACTTAAGACTCAGGGGGAAGGCAGTGCTGAGTCAGTGTAGATGGTTAAGCAAGGTAATGTAAGATGACAGCTGCAGATTTAGAAAGATATAACTGATGTCAGCCATCCTGGACTATTGGAAGGTTGGAAGGCCGAACTTTAGCTAGGAAGGTAATGAAGGAAGTCTTCCAGTCATGGAGTAGTGATGGTAGTGGGGGCTAGTGTGGTGGCCAGAAAATGATCAAGGGGTGAAGCCGTGAGGGGTGCAGTGAAGGGCTCACTAGGGTTTGGTAAGGGCTGAACCAGAGAGGGGGTCAAGTGGAATCTACATGTTTAGGCCTGAGAAGCTTGGAGAGGATGGCAAACTAGGTAGTTTGAGAACTGAGTTTGAGAATTGGGGAGGAAGGGAAGGGAGAGAGGTTTGGGGAGGAGGGATATCAGGGCAGACACAAGAATCCCAAGGTGAAGGGGAGCAACGGAGAACAGGCCTTTTCTCTTGAGGACCGTTTCCCTTTGAGCTTCACATTGGAGAGGCAGTTCCGTAACAGTTCTTCCCATTGTTTCTTCCTGGTTAGCCTACCTCCAGTGCACTTGTTCTGTGAATCGCGTGGAGTGGGGTGATGGGTATGGGTTGGGGAGCCGGTCAGGATTCTGTCCCTCATCAGCCTTCACTGGCCTGGAGCCCTGGGCAAGTCATGGAAGGGCAGCAAAGGGAATAAGACCCACCTCATGGCGCGGCCAGGCTCAGAGGAGAAGCACGCGAAGTGCTTACCCAATTACTTACACTCATATGCTCGATGAATGTTACCTACTGCGGTTGCCAAACCAACTGTAACATACCACACAGTTCAAGTTCTCAAACCACCAAAATGTTCAGCACACACGGGGATTGTTGAAAACAGGTGGATTTGGAGGAAAGGCTATTGGATTTACCAGGAGAGTCAGAGGCTGTGACTTGTTCATGGTTAGGGCCAAAACAGCATCTTGTCTGAGTCTCCAGAGGGGCTTGTGGAACCCTCAGTGTCCTGGCCTTCTGCAGACCTGGAGAGCAGAAGCTCAGGGGCAGGGATTGGAGCTATGTTTTTAGAAAGCTCCACAGGTGATTCTGAAGTAAACTGAAGTCTGAGAACCACATTTTATCTGCTAACAAGAACCTTCTGGCAAGATCTCTAGTCTATGTGATCACGACAAGGTGATGGGGAGCTCGCTCCCCCACTGACCAACCCATCCATCTCCTTGAAGCAAATTTCTTGTTAATAAGGTCCCTCCCAGCCTCAGACTCTTTCAGAGAAAGGGGAGGCAGGGGGAGAAGAAAAGGGAAGTCGAGTCTGGCAGCAGGGAAGAGAGGGAGGCTGAGAGAACAGGGGAGGGCCTGAGCTGGGGGGCAGAGGGTGGTGGGCCCCCAGGCCAAGGGGAAGGGGCAGTGGAGCTTGCTCCCTCCCAGTGTGGCCCATGCAGGGTTATTAGAGGAAAGAAGAATGAGTTTCTGCATCTCGGTGGAACAGGGCAAGAGTCATCAGCAGACATTATTAAAATCCTTTGTGAATGACACTTATCACTCTTCATCAGCAAAGCTCTGTTTGAAAAGGAAAATCAGCTGAACAGGTGGGGACTGTCCTTTCCCTCCTCCTGTGAAAGAGCCCAGGGCTGCCTCCTGACTAGTATGGGGCCCACTGCGGCAGGAGAGCGACTCTGGACCACCAGCGTCCTGGCACTGTGTTCACAAGGGGCCCTTTCCCCTGCCGCAGGGAATGGGTGGGTGGCTGCAGGGACGGCACCAGACACTGGGGGGACCAGGGATGACTAACTGCTGCACAGGGGCCCTGGACGCCCCAGAGACTGTCTGGGAGGGGGCCTGCAGCATGGTTGCGGGGGCTGGGCCTGATCTGAGCCTCAGGCTCTTCCCTGGTCTCCCAGTGCCTGCTCTCCCCTCCTCCCCGCTGTCCGCCCTTGGACCAGAGGCCTCTCTCCTGATCATGTCACTCCCTTATTGACAGAAGCTGAGAAATTGCCCGCTGTGGCAGGAGTCCATCCATACACCTTAGTCCATGCCGTTAGCTCAAGGCTTTTCCCAGAATGGCCCCAAACAGCCCTGCAGCCCTATATCCGCACCCACCCCGGCTCCACCCCCACTAGGCTGCGGGCAGCACCAGTCGCTATTCCCAAATCCATACTGCCCTTGCCTTCTCCCTCCTTTTGCTCAAGGCAGTTGCTCTGCCTGTAATGCCTTTTTCCTTCTTCTCTGCCAGGTGATCTGCTTCATGGCCCAGACCAAGTGTCCCCTCCTCTGGGAAGCCCTCCCTGACCTCTCCAGGAAGAACTAATTATTTTCTTCTCCAGGCTCCCATGGCAGGCATGCCACTGTTTTACCAATTACCACACTATATTCTAGCGGGTTGTAATCCCTTGTTTATATTTGTCTGTCCCCATTATAGGGAGTAGTAGCAGGAAGTGGGGGAGGGTTGTATTTTGCTCTTCTTTGTATCCTCCACAGAATAAGACATAGTTCTTAATCAAAATACTGACTAGCATGTATTGATGGCTTATTCAGTGCTTGGAAGGTCCTTCTTATACATTATTTCATGGAATCCTCCAAGTTACTGAGCCCATTTCACAGATGATGAAACCGAGGCTTGAAGAAGTGAAGTGACCTGTCCAAGGACACCTGGCTAGTATATGGCAGAGCAGGGACTGGAATCCAGTACTATCTGAATGAATCTCCCCCTCTTTGCCCTGCTCCTGCTTCTTAGTGACAGCAGCCCCTTAGGTAGACTGGCAGAGGGACCTCTGGTCTAGATCCTACGACACATCCCACCAGTTCAGCCCCTTCCCCATCTCTGTGAGCTCAGGCTTTCTCTGCCTCCAGGGCACCATACCACTTGCCCTGACATCCTTTGTCCATTTTCTGCCAGACAAAGCTTTCTTCCAAAGCCCTAGAGAAAGTTTTTTGTCCCCTTCCCAGGAGAAGCTCCCAATTACTTGGCCACTCTCACTGTCCTCAGTCCAGCAGCTCTTTTGGCCATCCTGTCTCCAGTCCCCTCCCCGGCCCCTGCTGTACAATCAGCCATTCAGCTTCTCTTCCCAGCATCTCAGTTCCCTGTGTTCCTCTGGCCTCTGTCTAAGCCCTGAGAAACCTGCACCGGACAGTGTTCTTGTTTCTACCCCCTGGTTTCAGATAACTCTGGAGGCGGACGGAGCCCTGGGCAGTTTCACAGATTCTTCCTTCACTGAGGCATTCAGGAGTGGCCCCTCTCTTCCTAAACTCCAGTTTTCAAGACAAACTCTGATGTTACGACTTTGTACTCTTTCTGAGACTAGCAGCCGAGTTTTTTCAACTCTATAGGCCCCGCAATCCCTAGGCCAGACTGTGCGCCCAGGTAGATGCCCAGTGAGTGGTGAATGAGTGACTTCATGGAAAACACCAAGAACATTCCAAGACTATGTCCTCAGACATGCCACTCTTCATCTTAATATTCTTATCCTTACATCAATCTTCTTGTTGGTCCCTCTGGTTCTAGAAAGGATGGTATCAGCTCTTCTCTAAACCTGGCCCCTTCATCTCCACTGTGCCCACCTTCTTGGGTAGCAACTGTCCAACTGCTCTAGGGCAGGCAGTGGGCCCTGATGGTCTCCCCTTTACTGCTTCTGGGATGTGAGCATACTAAATGAACCCCTCTTTAGAAGACCAACAGAATTCATCTCATTTCCACATTCATTTAACCCAAGGTAAGAAAGCACCAATCATATACTAGGACCTGCAATAGAGAGGAAATGTGGTTCAGGGCCACCCAGTGGAGTACAGTCCCTGGTGGGACAAATCACTCTGTCTGTTTTGTTCACTATTGGTTACCTAGTGCCTGGTACATATTTGGAACTCATTAAGTATTTGTTGGGTGAATAAATGAATGAATGAATGGTATTTATTATATTTTTCTGTTCATCCCAGATATGTTTTTCTAACATCACTATCCTACTTCTTTTACTCCAGGGAACTCTGCCCACCGCACCTCCCTCAACCATCTCTCAATGGCTTCTCATTTCTCATCATCCCATGACCTCCAGTTCAGTAGCACCCCTCTGAGGACTCCAAAGCTTCTGCTCATTCACTTCTTTTAGTGAACAACTCTTCACCTCTTCAGCCTCTCCCCACCTCCCAATTTCCTGGGTCCCCTTCTCTGTTTTGTTTTTGCTCACTTCCCTATAAAGCCGGAGTCATCATGAACCATTTCAGCAGAGAAGGTGGCCAGCTCTCAGCGAACTCTGCTCTCCCAACCCACCACCTCACCAGTCTTTGTCTCTGAAGGTCTTCTCTGCAAAGGGAGGTTGCTTGAGAGTCCTGCTGGTGAGCACCACTACAGATGTGTGCTGGCTAGCTTCAGCTGCTTGACAACTCTTTAAAAGATGTGTATTTAAACAATTTTTCAAAGGGGAAAAAATCTCTTCACTTCTTCACACGAACTGTTTATGGAATTCAGTGACCTTTTATGAATCATATCATTGTATAAGCTTCATTTTCCAGGGTAGAAATCAACTTATCCATCCTATTTCATACTCCGCCTTGTTCACCAAATGTTTTTCTGTGTATTCTTTCTCATGCATTGACAGAGACTCATATTCATCATTTGAAATGGTTATATAATATTCCATCATAATCATGTTTCATAGTTTGCTTAACCATTTGCCAATTGTAGAGCATTTGGGTGGTTTCCAGGATTTTCCTATTATGAATAGGGCAGCAATAAACATCTCTTTGCAAATAGAGGGTATTTTCTTTTCAGTTATATTCATGGTATATACTCCCAGAAGAGGGAATATTGGGTCAAAGGCTAGAAACACTTTTATGGCTTTTGTTGTGAGATGCCAGACTGCTCTCCAGAAAGCCTGTGCTAATTTGCAATTCTCCAGTCCTTTTATTCATGTTTTGTAGCCTCCCCATGAATTCCTCCAGGGGTTGTTCCAAATCCTCAGGGCCTGCCTGGGGAACCCAGTCCCCCTCACCGTCCAGCGGCGATTTTACTGAGAAAGTTAGAGCCATGTGTCCCTGAATTTCCTCCACTTCCTTCCATATCAACATTTCTATTTTCATGCTGGCTCCCCTCCTAGGCTGATCTCTGAGGAAGAGGTGTCCAGTTTGCTCTTGAAACAAACCTCCGTGACTGCATACTTGAACCTCATTCCCTCCTGTCTCTTTGAAACCATGCTGCATTAGTCATGCCACTCTTTTCACGTCATCCATCTCTCCCTCTTCTCCTGCTCTTTTCCCACAGCCTGCAACTATCAAGTCTCCTTTTTCCTAATTGTGCTAAGTACTTTCCCCTTCTCTCCCTGAATTACCCTCATCTTTCTTCACCATCCACCTTTCTGGAAGAATGATTTATGTGTCACTTCACCCTCTATTGGCCCCCATCTTACAGCCTTCAGGGAATCTAGTATGAGGGTGAAGTTAAAACACAGAAAACAGCAGAATCTAGAGAAATGAAGCATAATGGATCCATGCCTGAAGCCCACTCTACTGGATTTTTCAGTTACATGACCGTGGAGAAATGGAAATTCCTATGGCCAGGATCTTCCCCTGACCTTAAACTACTTGATGATGTAATTGGCCTAAGGCTAGGCTGATGCTTCCACACCCATTGGCAATGAGCTATTATTGACTGAGTCACTATATAAAGAGCTCCACCCAGTGCTCTGGGCAGAGGCAGAGATGGACGTGGATTATGGAACTGCAGACTGCTGGATGCAGATGTGATTCTAGCGCTCGACCTATTGCCGTGAGAAAAAAGTCAGGTATAAATGCTTTTAGCCGGAGAATATTCCATTGTCATTTCTCTGTCTTATCGAATCCATAGTGAACTTGCCCATGGCTGAAACCCTCAGGCAAGACAATGATTCAATACAAGTTAAATTACTTGTATCATTTAAATCATAATGTAGGGCTTTCTGTTATTTGTAGTTCAAACATACAGCCATTATAGCCCTCTTCACTGTTCTCCTTTTATACTCTCTCATCCGTTCCAAGATCGCATCTATGTGGATGGTTCCTTTACACCCCTAGTTAACACCTGCCTCCTCACCTCCAACTCCAACACTGCTAGCTTTTTGCTGAGTGGCTCTATGTGGTCTATTGAGCTTGAATCTTATAACTTAACACCAAAATTTCCACCACCACTGCCCAAGTCAAATCAACCTTACTTCCCTATTTCCCTACCTGATTATTCAGTTGCCTAAATTTAAAACTTTAGAGCCATCTATATAATTCTCTCCTTTACATCCCACAGCCAGTCAATTGCCATAACCTCACACTTTTGCCTCTGGCTATATCCTGACTTTAATTACCTCTTTTTCAAATTGACTATCTTTCTACCTTCTGGGTATTCCAGTTTCTGACCACCCTATAGAACAGCTTTTCAGAAACACCTTCCTTAAACACCAAAGCAAACAAACATTTTCAATGGTTTCTCAATATGTTTCAGATTTCACCCACTCTTTCCATCCTAAATTTAGTTCTTCTACTACAAGTTTTTTCCCTTTATCTTTCCAGTCTTATAATCTCATTACTGTCTCATTGGTCCCAAGCTACAGCCAAACTGGGCTATTTACTATTTCTTCCACACCTTGCTGCTAATGAGATGAATCCCACTTGGACCATTTTTCCTTCATATTTCATTTACTGAACTACTACTCATTTCCTTCAGATTTCATTTATTGAACTACTACTCATCCCTTAAGATTCACCTCAAAAAACACATCAATAAAGTATACTTCTGTTACCAGTTGAATGTATTATGTTTTCTTGGTCCTTGTCTTCTTGAAGCAATTATTTCAATCAAGAGACAGAACAGTCTTAGTGGTGGGAGTTTATTAAGCAAAGTGAAAGTACACTATCTAGAAGGGTGGGAAGCAGGCTGTCTGGAAACCAGCAAAACAGCCCTGCTATGAGGGTTAGGGTTGGTTTTTAAAATGGTAGAAAGTCCCTCCCTGCATCTTACATCCTTTAATTGAAATGTTGATTGACTTCTTCCTAGTGCGCATGTGCTTACCCTTAAGTACCTAAGCAAAATCCACAGGATGGGGGGATCAGGAGGTGGGAGTGTGGGGCGACAAACCTGTAATGTAAATTTATTGTAATTACAGTACAATGAAACCTGAGGTAGCTCTAGGTCACCTTCTGGGTCTTAGTGCACCTGTGGCCAAGCTGTATTGGTGGTCTGGGACCCCTGCTGGACTTTTTACATCTTATTTGCCCCTCATAAGGCAAGAGACTGAACCATAAACAGGAGGGGATTTGGGTGTGTTCTGCCATCTGGTGACAAAGGGGTAGGTGGAGAGGGAGAGGACCTTGTCCAGGACAGGACAGGACCTGCTCACATTTGCCTAATTACCTGACACTCTGATTTCCCTGAAAAAAACATTTTCTTTTTTGAACTCCTACAACTTGTCACCCTTGTATCACTTATCAGAACAGAAAAGCTGACTTTTATTTTTGAATCCCCTAAGCACAGAGCACAGGGCCTTGAAAATAGTAGGTGCTTGGTAAATACTTGTTTAATCAGCCTGAATTAAGGGAAACTTTATGGAGATGAGATGCTACAAGAAGGTGCCTGAGAAGTCTTATTCTTTACTTGCAGATTCACTAGAACCTCTTTTTTCTTTTCCTTTCTTATATTCCAGCTAGGGATTTATCAAGTCAACACATATTTATTTAGTGCTAACTATGTGTAAGTTAACACTGGAATCTGGAAGAAGCTGGTTTTGAAATCTTACACACTGAGATGGCTCAGAGCTATGGGTCTCAGAGCATAGTCCATAAGGATGTTACTGGAAGCTGAGGGCTGATTTACCTTCTACTATCAGTATTTAGTGCTAACTCTGAGCTCTATAGCTATTAAGGCTAGTGAGGGAAAAAAATGGACTAATAGTCCATAGACCTGAGTTCTGGGCCTGGATCTTTCACTAACTAGCTGTGTGACCTTGAACATGTCTTTTAACTTCTTGGAGACTCTGTTGCTTCTTTATCTGTGAAACAATACAGTCAGACTACAATGTTTCTCAAAGTGTGGTCCTCAGGATACTTGCATCAGGTTCACTTGAGTGACTTTAAAACACAAGTTCCCTAGACTCAAACCAGTGCTACTGAAAAAGAATCTTTGGAGACAGGGCTTAGGGGTCTGCATGTTAGTAAGCCCCCCTGTTGATTTTTATTCACATGCAAGTTAAAAACCTCTAAGCTTTAAAAATTTCCAAGTTTTCTTCTATTCTAAGATGTAGGTGTTACTGGATTAAGTACAGTTTAAGTTATTTTTGCAGTAATGAGTAGAATGGATGAATGAGCAATCCAGAGGGCATCTTGCCTTGAAGGAGCATCTATGGAGAGAAAGGTTAGAGGGCCCCTGATCCTCAGCCTGCTCCCAGGCCACAGCCCCAAGACAATGCTGCAGCTGCTTGCCTGTCTGCTGCTTGGCCTCCTTTCATATCCCTACATTGCTCTCTTTTCTCCTTTTCCCTTCTTTTCCTTCTTCTCTTCCCTTCCCTTCTTTTCTCTTCCCCTCTCTCCCCACTTCCTCCTCCCCTGTCTTTCTTCCCTCAGTCCCTCTGTCCCTCCCTCCTTTCTCTTTCTTTCCCCCCTTCCTTCCTTCCTCCTTCCCTTTTCGTTTTCTTTTCCATTTCTTTTCAAAATCCCATTTGTACCTGGATAAATACATCATTAGCAGTACCTTCACTTGCACTTACCTAATACACTTTTTTCTCCGTGAAGTCTTTCTGGCTCCCTCAATCAGATGTGAGCATTTCCTGCTCAGAACTCTCAAAATACTTTGAACCTCTCTTATGCCATTAATCATACTTTGCCATGTAATATTTCTAGGTCTATGCTATTGTGTATCCCTGAGGAAAAAGGCTGTTTTATTCATTTTTATTTCCCCCTTCTACAGTGCCTAGCATGGTGTGATTCATATATTGATAAAAATTCACATTTGCTTAGTATATGCTGGTTTATTAGTCATTTTCATGGACATTACTGAATAGTAGACACTGAATAAGTATTTGCTGAATGGATCAATGAACAAATTCCTCTGTTTTCCTTATTCTAGTCGAGCTTTTCTTGTCTCCTGTCCAAGGGGCAGGGCTACTGAGCTTAGAGTCAGAGGCTTGAGTCTGAAAACTTGTTTTACCTCTTAATAACTGGATAGTCTTGGATAAGTTGTTGAACCTCTCTGAACCATTATTTTATCTGTAAAGTACACATACCAATTCCTTATTTTCAGGTTTGATGGTGATGAAAATATCTGACACATAGCAATTTAAAAATATTAGTTAATGGAAATTTTTCCCTTCCCCCAATCCTTCATTTCCATTAGAATGTCCCTGAGGACAAACACTGGCTTTTCTAATTCTTTCTCTCCAGATTTGTGTCTTGGTACACTGCATACAAAAATGTGCAGAATACATTTCGTGGACTCTTAAAAATAGTCAGTGTCATGACGTGGAACACATATGGAAAACACTCAAACTGAAATGAACAGGCTATATTTGTCAGGATTCATGTAGCAAGGTTCATAAACCCCAATTCAAAAAAGCTTCCGGAAAAGAAAAAGAATTTATTGACTCCCCCAGTTGGGAAGTTCTAGAGTGGGACTGACTTTATGCACTGCTGCTCCCAGGGACTAAAACACTGAAGTCATGATGCTGTCTCTTTCTCCAGCTCTAAGCACTGCTTCTGTGGCTTCATTCTTAGGCAGCATCTCTCTAGGTGGTGGGAAGCATGCCTACTGGCTTTCAGACCAAAAAGATCACAATTTATCTTTGTGTCTGCATGCATAGCTCACAGAAGGATTCTCATTGATCCTGCTTGGGTCCTGTGCCCACATCTGGACCAGTCAGTGAGTTCAAAGGAGGTAGTGCTATGGTTGACTCAGCCTGGGTCACCTGCTCACCACAAGGCCCGTGGGGAATGATGTAGTGGTCGACAGACCCACAGACCACAGGAATGAGGGAGAGGTAGTACCTCCCAAAGAAGGGGTGTTGACAAAGTAACCTGTTCAGTGTATGAGTAGAAAATATACCCTTTCCTATCCTTTATGCTTAAAACTGCCTGCTTAGTTATTTAAAGGGCCCAGCTTCATTTACTCGTTCATTTATTCATTCACTGTTATTGAGGAAGATAAAACCATTTTGAGGTCTCTAAGCCCCCAGCCCAGGGCCGAGGGTTGGGGTAAAGCAACGATAAAATAACAAATGAAGACTAGCCTTGAAAATTCTCTGAGCAGACAAAAACCACATGAACTACTACTCATTTCCTTCAGATTTCATTTATTGAACTACTACTCATCCCTTAAGATTCACCTCAAAAAACACATCAATAAAGTATACTTCTGTTACCAGTTGAATGTATTATGTTTTCTTGGTCCTTGTCTTCTTGAAGCAATTATTTCAGTCAAGAGACAGAACAGTCTTAGTGGTGGGAGTTTATTAAGCAAAGTGAAAGTACACTATCTAGAAGGGTGGGAAGCAGGCTGTCTGGAAACCAGCAAAACAGCCCTGCTATGAGGGTTAGGGTTGGTTTTTAAAATGGTAGAAAGTCCCTCCCTGCATCTTACATCCTTTAATTGAAATGTTGATTGACTTCTTCCTAGTGCGCATGTGCTTACCCTTAAGTACCTAAGCAAAATCCACAGGATGGGGGGATCAGGAGGTGGGAGTGTGGGGCGACAAACCTGTAATGTAAATTTATTGTAATTACAGTACAATGAAACCTGAGGTAGCTCTAGGTCACCTTCTGGGTCTTAGTGCACCTGTGGCCAAGCTGTATTGGTGGTCTGGGACCCCTGCTGGACTTTTTACATCTTATTTGCCCCTCATAAGGCAAGAGACTGAACCATAAACAGGAGGGGATTTGGGTGTGTTCTGCCATCTGGTGACAAAGGGGTAGGTGGAGAGGGAGAGGACCTTGTCCAGGACAGGACAGGACCTGCTCACATTTGCCTAATTACCTGACACTCTGATTTCCCTGAAAAAAACATTTTCTTTTTTGAACTCCTACAACTTGTCACCCTTGTATCACTTATCAGAACAGAAAAGCTGACTTTTATTTTTGAATCCCCTAAGCACAGAGCACAGGGCCTTGAAAATAGTAGGTGCTTGGTAAATACTTGTTTAATCAGCCTGAATTAAGGGAAACTTTATGGAGATGAGATGCTACAAGAAGGTGCCTGAGAAGTCTTATTCTTTACTTGCAGATTCACTAGAACCTCTTTTTTCTTTTCCTTTCTTATATTCCAGCTAGGGATTTATCAAGTCAACACATATTTATTTAGTGCTAACTATGTGTAAGTTAACACTGGAATCTGGAAGAAGCTGGTTTTGAAATCTTACACACTGAGATGGCTCAGAGCTATGGGTCTCAGAGCATAGTCCATAAGGATGTTACTGGAAGCTGAGGGCTGATTTACCTTCTACTATCAGTATTTAGTGCTAACTCTGAGCTCTATAGCTATTAAGGCTAGTGAGGGAAAAAAATGGACTAATAGTCCATAGACCTGAGTTCTGGGCCTGGATCTTTCACTAACTAGCTGTGTGACCTTGAACATGTCTTTTAACTTCTTGGAGACTCTGTTGCTTCTTTATCTGTGAAACAATACAGTCAGACTACAATGTTTCTCAAAGTGTGGTCCTCAGGATACTTGCATCAGGTTCACTTGAGTGACTTTAAAACACAAGTTCCCTAGACTCAAACCAGTGCTACTGAA